GCACAGTCACTTGCAACCTTTATTAGAGTCTTATAGATTTACACTCTTGTGGACACTTTTTCAAGAAGTTAAATAATTTTTAAATGTACGTTTACTTTCTCAAAATATAGTTTCTTTTATTAAATATTTCTTGTAGATTATACTTGGACTGTTAGTTAGTCCCCTTGTGGATATATACTATAAGAACTTAGTTATGGGTTCTCCTTCACATTTTTGTAAGATAAAGTCAGGTAGGTTGTGGGTTATATTCCCCCACATTACTATGTTGTGTAGGCTATTTGTTAAGGCAGTGTGTTGCGCGCTATGTGTTATTTTCTTCTAAGGCAGGCAGGTATATTGGGCGCAAATAAGGTTTTCTTTCTGGGTTGTAAGGTGAGTATCTAGACTAAAGTTTGAGAAAAGTAAAAACTAGTGGTATTTATACATTCGAGAAGGCTATTTTACTAATAGGCTATGACTAATAATTTAATGATAAGTAATACAGATTGTGAATAATAAATGACTAATTTCGTAAATATTTGAATAATCGTTAATTAATAATTATAGATAAAGTATAATATGCCCTGATTTGGTAATCGTATTGTTGATAATCATTTTGATTAAGGCGTGATATCCTTGTTTGTCACACGGTGTAGATCGTTGCAGATTTCCCAGAGTGCCAGTACACGCTGAACTGATGCTAAGCCCTTGACGGTGAATTTTAGTTTCACTTGTATAGGTATTTCTATTGTTTTGAGGGTTTTGGTGTTTTTGTAACCCCCTTATTAGTTTTCTGGTGTAAAGGTTTATCTCTGGCGTATTTCTTTTCTGGATCTAATCTGTGTGGATCATAAGTAATTTTTCCTTTTTTAGTGATGTACTCATTTTCGTAATACGGTATTAGTAATTCAAATAGTTTTTGTTTATTCATGTGAATTGTTGGTGTGAAGATAGGTGTTGCGCTTCTTTTTGTGATAAATATTTGAAGTTTGTCTGGATATTTGGTTCCATATTCTTGATAGAATTCTTTTCTTTGTCTGTTAAATGATATAACCAAATTGGTATGGTTACTTTGTTTGTTTCGAGTACTGCTTCATGTTTGTATAATGGTTTTGTTTCACTTTGATTATGTGAATGATAGTTATGTATCATAGTAAGTTGCATTCGTAAATGATCTATTTTTAGGTCTAATTCCTCTTGTGCTTCTCGTATGATTCCTTTGTAGTATGTCTCATTCGGTTCTACTTTTCCTCCGAAGCATGACCATTAGTTCGGATATATTTTACATTGGTCTGTTCTTTGTGCAGCGAGGATTTTTGGTCCTACTATATCGCCTTGTCCTATTTTTTCCATGATATATGATATTATCACAGTATATTTTCGATGTTCTTTAACATTGATTTCTTTTGGTAATTGATCAACTTCTTCTAGTTGTTTGGAGTTTTCAATAGTTGGTTTTTCTGAAATTATAGTTCTGATCATGTCATTTAGATTTTTGTAGTTGTTATTAATTTCAATGTGAGTTGAGTATGCTTTTAAAATATTTTTTCATAAGAGGAATATATTTCTTCAAGGTATTTTGTATCAACATTATCTTTGGTTAAGTTTTGTTCTTTCTTCCTTTTAATATATTGTTCTAGTAATTTTTCAAGTTTTGGTTTACAATAAATTACTAGTGGGTTACTTGAGTATAATGCTTCTTTTAATTGTTGCCGGATGTTTTCTAAAATTTTTCTTTCTTCAAAGTCATTTTTTCTGATATTCTTGAAGTATGCACATTTGTCGTGCAAATGTATATTTTTCTTTAGTTTTGTTCATTAGAGCTAGTGATTCAGATATTTCATTCGGTAATCCTTCTACTCGAATTATTTTTTGATGTCGTTCTTCAAGATATCTTTCTAAGTTTTTTGTAAAGGTCGTTTTCCCTGCAGCTACGGCTCCTGTTACTATGATAATTTTAGTGTTGATTTTTAAGTCAAGTTTTTGAATTAATTCTTTATATTTTGGTAGTGATTTATATATTTTATGGATTGTAAATATTGGTATGAATTCTGTTTTTGTTGCTTCTCAGGTTTCCTTTTTGAACTTTTCATTTCTTTGTATTCTTTCCTTGTTTTCTTTAAAGAGTTCTTTTTTATCATTCAACTCCTTTAATAATTTTTCTATTTCTTCTTGATTTCTTTGTTCTATTATTTCGTTGTTTAGTAGTTCTTTTTGGTAATAATTATTTCTTGCTTTAAAGTATTCTTTTGGGTTTGGTTTCAGAGTTTTTGGGTGGTGTTGGGTTTCCATAAATTCTCTGATTTCCTTTTCTGATGGTTTTGTTAGTGGTCTTCTTTTTTCAATTTCAACATTTTCTTGTGCCCAATTAAATATTGTAAGTTGTATCGGTTTTGCTTTTTCTAGAAATTCCATTATAAGCTTCTTTTTGTCTATTTCATTATTATATTTTTCTTCTCCTAATACTTTTTTCATAACTTTTTCCTGTATCTCTGTTGGTTCAAATTTATATTTTTTTGATTTATTCATCTTGGTGTTAAGATTATGTTCTATGAATCCTGTCTTCTAGTTAAGGTGTTTCTTGATCCCCTTATAATTATTCTTCTTGTTATTTCTGCAGTTCTTAGTTGGTTATAGGCAGTGGTTAATTGTTAGTTAACTCTTTTTAAGTTTGTTATTAATTGTTCTTTAGTGTATCTCTCTTTAGCTGGTTCTATTTGTTGGTAAATTTGAAATTGTAACCTTGCTAAAATTGCTTTTTGGTTTTGTCCTACGTTTCTGTTATTTCGTGATTCGGTTGTTTTTATATATTCGAATCCTAAATTTTCTCGTATCCTTTCTTCTGTGTAAAATTCTTCTTCAAATAATGATTCTGATATTCGTATTCTATTTTCTAGGAATGTTAATTAATTTTTTATTCCTTCTATAAATGTAGTAAATTCTGATATTTTGTAATTTATATTTTGTAATTCTTCAAGTTGTTCTTGGTTCATTAATAGTTTTCTTCTGTTTAATTATGATATAAGTTATAATTATTATTCCTATAATTATTATGATTCCTATTGTTGTTAACGCTATTGGCTGTAGTTGTATTTCGGTTTCCTGTGGTATTCCAACTTGTTGTATAACTGTTGATTATTGTTCATTTATCCTTCTAAGTGATTATTAATTTCTTTTAGGAGTTTATTCAATTTTTGTAGTGACAGTTGTTTGAGTATTTCTTCTAATACTATTCTTATTGGTATTCCTAATGGTAATTGGTGTTCTAATTCTTTTAATTTTGTTATTAATTTTCTCTGGGTATAAATTTGTTGCCAGTACTTGGTGATATTGTCTTTTGCTTCTTGTAATACCTTCTTTAAATATTCTGGGTTGTATAGATCTATTGTTATGCTCATTAATATGGTGTGTGATCTATTAATCGGTCGTTTGGGTTATATATCTCGTAATATATTGGTGTGAAACTGATAATATCTATGTATTTAATAATTTTGTTTCTCAAGTGTCTTGGTATAAAATCAATTCTATTTTGATACTTTTCTTTTATTTTGTACCAGTCCCGGTAAGTATTTGAGTTTAATATATCAATAATATATAGTGTTTCTTTTTCTATGTCGTCTTGTGCACATAAGAGTAATGTTAACTCCTCTTGGAATTCTTCAAAGTCTTGGTCTGTTATTAAAGTATCTAAGTCTTTAGTATTTGTTCTTTGTAATATGAATAGTTTTATCCACGTTCTTAATTGGTATTCTTTTACTATTTTATTTTCTCTTGATAGTATTAAGAGATAGTTTTGTAATTCTCCGTTTAATACTTCTTCGAAAACTTTTCTAGGTTCTGGTAGTGGTCGGATAAGTTTCTTGTTGGATGTTATTGGTTCAATAGATATTTCTGGTTTCCAGGGATTATTATCTTCTGTTGAAAGTGTAGTGAATTGGTCAAATAGTTTGTTTAAATTTGTTTCTTCTGGAAAGAATGTTTCGTTTTGGTATTCTTCAAATAGTTGTACTATTGATTTAGTTTGTTGCTCTATTTCTTCTTCTAGATAAGCTGTTATTCTTTTTATGGAGTAATTGCAAGGTTTATTATCTTCTTTACAATTATTACTCTTCTTTTGTAGAATGTTCTCTTTAATACAATCTTTCCCTCGTTGAATACAATAGTCACAATTTTTGTTAATTTCTTCCACTTTTGATATATCAAAGCTACAATTTTGTTTATAATATATGCAAGTATTACACCTTAGTTGTCCTTTTCTTTGTTTGCACCTTTTCTTTTTTCTGATACAATAGTTACAGGCTTTGCCTTTCTTTTTTGTTCGTTTTGAGTGTCTACACTCTAATTTTCTTTTTATACACCTTTTACACTTTAATTCTCCTTTATCTTTGTTACAGCGTGTTGGTACACTAATGCAATTATCACAGTATCTATTAAATATTATTTCCACCTTGGTTTTTTTGAGTGATTATATTATTTATTTCTTTAATGACTTTTTCTATTTCTGTTGTTAAATTTTCTTCGTTATATCTTCGACTCCCTAGTACTCGTTCTCATATTTTCTTTTCTTCGTATTTGCACTCTAATTGGTTTCTTTTGCAGTACTCACACTTTTCTTGATTTTCTTTCTTTTTATACCATTTATGTATTCTTGTACAATGAATACACTTGGTGTTTAATATCATTCAATTTAATATATGGTTAAGTGATGTTTTGAGTGTCTCTCCAATAGTTGTTTCTTCGAATGTTTCTACTATTGTTTGCCCTTTGGTTCTTTTTACCTTAAAGGTTCGTGAATTATTCTTGTTGTTGTGCATTCAATTTCTTCTTTAATACACCAGTTACACTTTTCCTGTTTATTTTGATATTCATATTTCTTTTTATATTTAGCACAATAATCGCAGGCTTTACAATTTTTTACCCAAGTTATTTTTTGATATTGTTGTGTTTTTGGATTTCTCTCAGATTCGTTTTGTGCTTTTTGTTGTACTTCTTCTAAAATATTGAAGATTTGTTGTTTATATTCTTGTCCTTCGAGATTGATTAATTCTTTAAGTTTTTGTTAGTAACTTTCTTCTCGTTCTGGAAAGAATTCTTTGGTTGTTGCTAATTCTTTTAAGTTTAGTTTATTTCGTATTAGTTCAGTTATTGTTTGGAAAGTTGTTGGTTGTTCAAATAAGTCAATCTGTCTTTTTAAGAGTTGATATATTTTCCTGTGTATGGTTGTTTTATCGATTATTGTTTGTTCATTAAGATCCATTCGTTCTGTTGTTCAAGATGATAATTTTTGCTGTGTTTAAATATCTTTTGTTGTTGTACATGATTGGTAATAATAACGCCCCAATTCGTTACTTTTCCGTAGTACTTCAGAGATATTCCTTTTGGAATAACTCATCTAAAGGCACATCTTTGGTGTCTTATGATAAAGATTTCTTTGTCCCTGATTGTTTTACTTTTATTTGGTGGTATTATTTATTTGTTCATTTGACTTAATGAATCAATGGTATCTTTGTCACACTTTTCCAAGGTGTGATTAATATTCTAATTCCTATTGGTGTTTCTGTTCTATCATGTTGATAGATGCTTTGATTGATTATTTTGAGTGTGAACCAAACACTCATATCGACTGTTATGTATGGGCGCCAATTTATGGCATAAGCCCTAAATATTTATATTTTCTAGATGCTACTATGCCCTATCCATCACATAGTGCTATCGTACGCTATTCCCTTTATAGATATATTAAGGTTGCATCATCTAGGTCGCACATATTAATATATTCTATTCCGTATGCCTTAAATGCTAAGTTATACAAGGTTGATAATTTATAATTCCTTTAAGTAATACTAAGTTATTAATACTTATTTGATAAACTATATTTGGTTAAATTACTCATGCGTAATATTGATAGTAATATTATTTGAAGATGGTGGCACTGATATAGATTTTCCTTGTTCTCCAATAATTTTAATAAATTCATTTTTAGAAATTTCTTGTACCTCATTAATTGGTTTTATCGTTGGTGATCGTGTTTTTCTTTCTCGTGGTACTTGTAACCATTGTGCTGTTTCTGTCTGGAGTAATTCTTCCTCCGTGGGTAATTCTTCTAAGTCTGTTGCATTGTCATTATTGCTTCGATTTCTTTTGTAAAGTCCTATTAGGAATGATCTGTTTAGGATTTCTCTTCTATATTGGTTTGCTTCTTGTTGGTAAGCTTCATTAGTATAATAGTGTGTTTCTTCTGCTAGTTGTTCATTTATTTTTTCTGCTATTTCTGATATTTCGTCTCCTAATATTTCAAAGCTTTTGGTTACTTGATTCATTAGGGAGTAATTTCGCAAGTCTTGTCTTTCCAAGTATTGTTCTAATCTTTGAATTCTTCTTTCTTGCATATGTTGATTGTTAAGTATTTGTTCAAGGGTTATCGTTAGATTGTGTATCCCTATAGCGAAGTGTTGGAATCCTCCCTGGATCCAATCTTGTTCTGAAGCGAAATTGTTTCTTTCAAGAAATTCTATTGGTTCTGGTGTTTCCACATGTTGTTTTCCTTTGTTAGATGGTTGATTCATTTGAAAGCAATTTTTGCACATTTGTCTTTCCTTTTCATTATTGGTTCGTAATGCATTTTCTGTGTCACAATGTAGGCAATATTGTTGTCCTTTAAATTCTTCATTATAACAGTGATTATGATAGTAATTACTATGACATTGGTTACAATATTCTTCTTTTGTATATTGGTGGTTTTTAGTTTCTTCTGTTTGTACAATAGTATATTCCCATGGTTCTTCTTGTTTGATTACTATTGTCATTAGGCATGATTTACATAGGACGTTAGTCTCTTTCATTTGTTCAAAGAATTTTCTATTATATTCGTGAAAGGTTTTATCCCTTGGATTAGCTTCTCCAAAGCTGCTGTCTATTGCCCTCTGGAGTTTAGTTTCATTAAAAATTAATTGTCCGAATAGCTGTTCATCAGTTTCATCCATTATTTCTTCATTTATGAATTGTTGTGGCATTATCCCATTTGGTGTTAAGAATATATCGTTTGGTTGTATTTCTCTATTTACCGTTTGCAAGTTTATTCTTCCCATTCGTATTTCTTCAAATATTTCTCTGGTTAGTGTAAGGTTTACTTCACTGTATGATGTTCTTTTTCTTGTTGATTCTGTCCAGTGTCGAAGCCTTCCTTCAAAGGTATAATTTGGGTTTATTAATTCTAATGCTATGGTGTGTGCTAATCTTTCTTCTGTCTTACAGAAGAATAATCCTCCCCAGTTTTCCATTTGTTGTTTAAGTTTTTCAGTTCCACAACTTGTATATGTAATAAGACTTCCAGAGTCTATTAGTTGTTCTCGAATGATTTCTTTATCTGATGCATTATCGTCTGATATTTGTTGGTACACTTCAATTCGACATGTTTCGCAGTATAATAGTGTGGTTTTGTTATTTATTTTTACTGGTTCTAACTTTGGTCGCAATTCACTGCATGGTTGGTAGCAGTTACAACAATGCCATTTCTTTTGTTTTGATGTTAATGAGTCTGGGTTTATTAGTGAGTTTTTACGCACTTTCTATATTTCTTTTTTATTGCATCCACAGGTTTGGTTTCAGTTGTTATCCCATAATATTCTTTTTGGACAGTATTCTTCAATATGTTTATATTCATAACAGTAAGTGCATTGTGTTAGGTAACAGTTTAGTTGGTAATGTCCCTGTTGTCCGCATAATTCACAGATGAATTGATCACATATACTGCGGTGATGTGGTCCTCTACATTTTCCACAAATAATGTCTGGGCATTCTTTGTAATCGTGAACGCCTGCTTCCCATCACAGATTCTACATCTCGAAAGATTTGTTCCTTCTGGATTGCTTGTAGATAGTGTTTGCTCTGTTCCACTATTTTGAAGGTTTGTTGTAATTGTTTGTTCATCATTCGGTTCACTGTTACTAGTTGTGATTTGGTCAATGTCCATGGGCTTTCTAGGTTGTATGTTAACCTTTTTACTAGGTACCTTGGTTCTGGACTTCCTTTCAAGGTTATTTCGAAATTGCTGGTAGTTCGGTGTTCTTTGATATATTGATTTATAAGATCCGGATATGTTCTTGCCGGTTCCAATTGTACTCCAAGGATTTGACTTAATAAATTGGTATCTCTTGTTAGGTATATTTGATTCATTTCGTCCTGTACTTGTAAATCGTTTTTGGTTGGGTGTTTCCATATTGATATTAAATCTTTTGGTATTTGGTCCATTGGTTTTGGGGTTTTTCTGACAGTCGATTTTGGGAATCTTTTATAGTTTCAGGGTTGTTTTGGATCATCACGCATTTTAGTCACGTCGATTTCCATATTTGGTTTATCATCTTGTTTATCTTCGATTAGTAATTCATTTCTTATTGCTTCAATCATTGTGGCCCACAGCTGACTCTGATATTGTCTTCACCATATGTATTCAAGTAAATACGGTTCAATTCTTTCTTCATTTCTATTTCTGGCAGGTATTAATATCTTTAATCCATTCCAGTTTCCTTCTATGGTATTGGTATGTATTTCTGTTTCAGGATCTTTAAAATGTTTTGAATGGTTAACATTCCCATGCTGGTTCCCCAAGATTGGCGTAATTTCATCATACGCTTTCCATTGGTCTGTGTAAATAATTGATCCTTCTTCAACGTTATCTTTAATGATTTGTAATACTGATTCTTTATCTCTTTTATTTATTGTTTTGACAAATATTCTTCGGTCATGGGTTCTTTCTACTCC